AAGACACAGACATTCCCTCCAACTGTACATCCTCAACCTCTTGCTGAAACACCCCAGCTCGCTCTGCTCTCAGTATTTCCGGAGTGATCTCGTCGACCAGGGAAGAAAAGGCTCTTACGGGTTTCACTGGCAGGACTGGGGGGTGATCCACCGAAGACGACCTCTATGAGGGAGCTCGCGGGGCCAGAATGATACTTCTTTAGGGTGATGAGAGCTCTGCCCAGGGAGAAAAACGAGAATTAGAGGAGCTGGGTGAAAACCAGCCATCGATTCCGTGCCCGAGCCCCTGTCCCAGCACAGCCACCTGCAGCCACCACCCCCTGGGAGGGGCACCGAACGACTCCAGACTCAACTCGACTGCACTCCTTTCCACCACAGGACAGGTGGCCAGGGTGAGTGAGCCACGTTAAAGGAAAAAGAACATGTGATTCCCAGGCTCACTCGCCCTTACTTTTTCAGCCGCTTATAAGTGACGTCATTGGCGAGTTTTAACAGTCTGTAGGCACGCTCTCGGTCTAAGCTCAGCTGGAAATCATGGGACTCATCAAAGGCTACTGTGACCGATCTCTGCATGATCCGGGTCAGGATCCCCGTGGCCAGCTGACCGCCTTCGTCATACAGACCCACTATATCTCCTGCAGGAACAGAGACTCCGGTTATACAAACACTGAGCCAAGTTAAACTGTGGATTATTTTCTATGATAAATTCCAGCATTATTTCAAATACCCTGTTAACTTTCTTTAGAAATGAAATCAATAGCAATAAAAAAGTTTAACTGACAACTAAATTACGTACAAAAGTTGACTTGAGATCAATGAACTATTTAAAACAGACACACCACGGGGCGCCTGGGTGGCTCAGTCGGTTGGGCATCCAACTTCGGCTCAGGCCGTGATCTCACAGTCTGTGAGTTCAAGCCCCACGTCGGGCTCTGTGCTGACAGCTCAGAGCCTGGAGCCTGTTTCAGATTCTGTGTCTCCCTCTCTCTCTGACCTTCCCCTGTTCATGCTCTGTCTCTCTCTGTCTCAAAAATGAATAAATGTTAAAAAAAAAATTTTGTTTTTAAATAAATAAAACAGGGGCGCCTGGGTGGCGCAGTCGGTTAAGCGTCCGACTTCAACCAGGTCACGATCTCACGGTCCATGAGTTCGAGCCCCGCGTCAGGCTCTGGGCTGATGGCTCGGAGCCTGGAGCCTGTTTCCGATTCTGTGTCTCCCTCTCTCTCTGCCCCTCCCCCGTTCATGCTCTGTCTCTCTCTGTCCCAAAAATAAATAAAAAACGTTGAAAAAAAAAATTTTTTTAATAAATAAAACAGACACGCCAGGGACAACACCTGGGTGGCTCAGTGAGTTAAGTGTCCAACTTCAGCCCAGGTCGTGATCTCATAGTTCGTGAGTTCGAGCCCCGCATCAGGCTCTCTGCTATAAGCACCAGGCTCACTTCGGATCCTATGTCCCCCTCTCTCTCAATCTCTCTCTCTCTCTCAAAAATAAATATTTAAAAAAATTTTTTAACAAAAAAATTAAGACAAACGTGCCAGTCAATAAAACCTTTTGAAGTGCCTACTCTGTGCTAGGCACTGGTCTAGGTGCTGGTCCAATTAGAAATAAGACACACGT